TTGTCAAATAAAAAAATGTCAACAGCCAACACAATAGTCATCCGGTGTGAATGCCCTGTCTTGAACCATAAATATGTGATATAACACAGTTGCATCGTATTGGTCATGTCACATAAGAAGTTTGCGTCATACCTATTTTTTGTCAGATCAGCAAAAAATATATTGTTTGGTGTGCCGCAGAATTTTAGTAATTATGTGTGCCATAAGATAAAAAAGGTTGAAAATTGCCACTCTAGGGCTATGTCCAAGAAAAGGGAGGGAATCCTAGGACCAATCAATCCCAAGCTTGCTTTTCCCAGTGTCCTTCTCCTTTCCTCCAAAACCTGTGGAAGATTTTGAGCTTTAAATTCCCGATTCCTCAGTTAAAGGGGGTTGCAAAGTCCTGGCCAGGGTGGCTCACTTGGTTGGGCATCATTGCACGCACCAAAAGGTTGCTGGTTTGATTCTCAGTCAGGGAACATGCCTGGGTTTCAGATTCGATCTTCAGGAGGCAGCCAATCAATGTCTCTCTATCCCTCCCACTCCCTCTAAAATCAGTTTTTAAATGTTTTTTAAAAAAAAAGTTGGTTTCAAACAAGGCAACAGACCTATGGTAATTCCCTTCATATTCATTCCCAGCTTTTCCTTGTCAAGTTTAAGTTAAGACGAAGAGGGTGGCTGAAAGGGAATGAAGCCACTTCTCTCAGCCTGAGTCTGACTGAAGCTGGAAAGGATGCAAGCACTTGTTCAGGGCAACATGAACAAAACTTGAGCCTGGGTGGTGGGGGAAGAGGGTGGAGCAGGTGGTATATCAAGAAGAAACAAGAGGTCTAAATAACTGATGAAAGTTTAATACATTAAAACCAGATAGTTATCACTTATATTGCATTTGCCATTTCTGAACAATACAAAGTAGAGGCAAATAGTGACACTTCATAAAAATGTTCATTCCCCCATTCCCTTCCCTAAGACCCAGCCTCCCTTGAAGATTCCCTCCCACCCCCTACAGAACTCTGTCCTGAATAAAACACTTAAATACATCATAAATAGTAAATTATGAAAAGAAAAAAAAAAACAGCAAGAATTTTCTTTCCTTCTTGTAAAAAAAGAACATGGCAGCAAAGACAGGCAGCCAGAATCTGGCTGAGGGTGTCTAATATAGACAGTTACTCAGGGTACGGGCTAACCTACTATCAAGGTTGGGTGGGATGGAGGGGATAGTGTGGGACTTCAACAATCTGCCTGAGATGCCGGGCCCCCTTCTCCTGCCAGGAGGAGGCGGCTCAGATGGAGAGCTCCAACGCCTAGGGATGGGGAGGAGGGATTACACAGCCCCCATTTTCCACATTCTCTGCATGAAGAGAGGGGGCAGGACAGGTGGCACAGCAGTGGCCTCACCGAGGCAAGAATCTGCTGGCTCCTATGAGTCCGAGAGATAGTCTCTAGCTTCATAAATACGGAATGCCTGCTAAACAGACACAGGTGACCCTCTCTCCACTTCAGCCCCATGAACAGCAGAATACTGTTGGGAAAGGTAGGAAGAACAAGGAAGAAATCTCCTTTGGAGAAGGAGCTAAAATTCATTTGATGTCTTCATATTTAGAAAAACAACCAGAATATATTTCAAATTGCAAAAACAGTAATAATCATTATGGCCTGGCAGTGAGTAAGTAGGAGCATACCTAGGAAGGGCCCTGATCTCTGAGCCCCATGACTGCCCACTGCTTAACAAAAGGTAAAGATTACCCCATGTCCCCCTCTCTCCATTCCTTCAGCCTTAAGAAATTCATCAAGACAAGAGTTAAAGAGGAGCTGCTCCAGGCAGAGCAATCATCACACTTCTGTTTCTCAAACACCAGGGCTCTTCAGAGGGAACCCTATGAATAGGCATCTCTCCAACACTTCTGGAGTTTTGATCTGAAACTGTCTGGCTTAAAATTGTGTGCTGTGCATCATGATTTTTTCTTTTCCTTTTTAAGGAAAAAAAGAAGGTTGGAAGGTGGTTAAATATCCTCACTCCCCCAAAAAACTTTACAGAGCCTCCAGGGTTCTTCTTCCGGAGAGAAAGAGCTACGGTGGGATAACGTGCCAGTCTATCCTGAGGACTGAGAGTCCAGCTCCGGGTGAAAGGTCGATGAGAGGCAAGAAAACCACCACGTCCAGCAACCCCGCTTCCAGCAGGAGGAATAGGGGTTTGAAAACAATTCAATTGTAGAAGCCAAAGTTGGCTAGTTGAAAACTCGTGCCACCCAACTCAGGAGTGGAGAGGGTGCTGGCGTCCTCAACTGTCCGAGGCACTAATGCCCGTTCATGAGGAAGGGGAAGGAGAGGTTCTTCTTCAGAAAGGAGTTGGAGAGCTACCCTAGCCTCCACTATACTCTTTCGATGACCAAGAAGAAAACTCAGCATTGCTCGGTCAAGGGCTGACATCTTGGGATCATAGAGATAGAATCTTGTTCCAGGTCTTCTGAGGTCTTCTGCTCACTGAAAAGGGAAAGGGTGTAAAGTTAAGAATAAGGAATATAAAAGGAGATAGGAAAGGAATTCAAGTTAATTTCAACCTTGCTGGCAGAGTTAAGAAGTTCCCTTCCATTTTAGCCTCAATTTCTAAGTACAGGGTACCAAAAACCAAAAATTTTAAAAGCAAGATTTAGGGGCACACAGTCCTTCTAATTTTGCCAATTAACACCTTGCACCACGCTCCATCAGTACATCCTCGTTAGGCCCTTCAAAGCATTCTCCTCCCCCACGTCCCAGACACTCACCTGGATGAACTCTGACTCTTCGATTTCAAGCTTTTCCAAGAGGGTTGAACTAACAGGAAGCAAAAAAAGAATTAGAAAATAAAAAAGAAAAAGGACTGTCTTCTCAAGTCTATTCTCATACTGCTTCTCCATATTTCACTTCAGAATCAATTCAGGATTCACAAAGAAGAGGCTCAGAAGCTACTAGATTTAGAATATTTCCTAATACCCTCTTCTTCTGTCTTCAATTCCCACATATGGTAGACACTCAATGATCACTGCTGCCTGATATTCATGCCATTATGTAATTCTCGAGTGTGGGCTGGATTTAGTGACTTTCTTTTAGTGAACACAATCTAGTACAGGTGATAGGATATTGATTGAGGTTAGGTTACAAAAAAGACTATATAAGCTTCCTCTTGGGGACATGGTCTCTTGTTTGCTCTGAGGGAAACTAGTTGCCATACTGTGAGCTGCCCTATGAAGAGGAATATGTGACAAGAAACTGAATCCTACAAACAACTACAGAAGCTTGGAAACTGATCCTCCCCTGGGTAAGCCTTCAGATGAGACCACTGCCCTGGCTAACAGCTTGACTGTAACCTCCTGAGAGATCCTGAGCCAAAGGCACCCAGCCAACCCACACCTAGAATCTTAAACCACATAAAACATGACATAATAAGTGTTTGTTGTTTTTAGCTGCTAAGTTTTGGGGTAATCTGTTATACAACGATAGATAATATACCCGGAAATGAAGTGCTGCTGTAATAAAAATCTAAAATGTGGAAGTGGTTTTGGAAGAAGGAAGTGGGTTTTGAGGAGAGTTTTAGGGAAAGTTTAAAAGTGCCCTTAATATACTATATAATTTTGGACTCTAAGGGGGTTGCCAGTAAGAGCTGAAAGGACAGTGAGGGAAAAAACTCTTATTAGAAAATAAAAGGGGATCCTTATAATATAGTGGAACAAAGTTTAGCAACAATGTCATCTGCATTTATGTGGAAAGTGGAATATGTGCCTGCTATGGAGATTTCTAAGCAAAGTGCTACCTGATTTCTTATTCTTTTCCTTTTGGTTAATCCTCACCCGAGGATACTTTTTCCATTCAATTTTAGAGAGAGTAGAAGGGAGGGAGGGGAGAGGAAGAGAGACAGAGAAAAAGAGAGAGAGAGAGAAAGGGAGGGGAGAGAAACAGACACATCAGCTGGAGTTACACACCCCAACCAGGGCTGGGGATCAAACCTATGACCCAGGTACATGCCCTTGCCCAGGAATTAAACCTGAGATCCTTTGGTGCTTGGCTGACGCTCTAACCACTGAGCCAAACCAGCGAGGGCCTGAAGTTGTTTCTTAATTTTAGCATTGTTTGCTATCTAGAGAGGCTCAGAATTTTCAAAACTATCATAAAGTCCTGGCTTCTTTTTGTTTAATAAACTTTCCCTTAATTAATTTTTCTTCTCTCATATTTTACTATACGCATTAAGAAGAAATCAGGCCCTGGCCAGTATGTCTCAGTGGTTAGTGTCAGCCCGAGCACTAAAGGATCTTGGACTGGATTTCTGGTCAAGGGCTCCTTCCTGGGTTACAGGTTCAATCCCCAGCCC